TTTCTGTGCGATGCCTTTTGTTTTATTGTTATTCTTTTATACGACGAGATGTTCAGGCTCCCCACGTGCAAAGCGATGTGGGGAGCTGTGTCCTGATACTTTTACTACTTTTAGTATGCCGACGTTGATACCTCATAATACACTAGTGACTTTCTGAGTGTCACAAAGCACAGAACGGCCCCGTTCCACGTCTGGCTCCAAGTGGCTTCTCTCAGCGCTCGAGGCACCGTCAGCGCTGCCTCCATCCTTGCTCCTTCCCATCCATCCTGACTCCCTGAATCCTGCATAGCCAGAACCCCCTCCCACAAGTCAGTCTCGGAATCCAGCCTCAAGTTTCCCCAGCACAGTGAGTTTCCCAGGAAGTCTCACAACCCTTAAAAGCCGGTTCAAAAGAACAGCGTCATGATCCGTGGCTATTATCCTGGAGTTGTACCCACTCTACAGTCGAGTTTCCCGCATTTTCGCCCTGACCTCCCATTTTCTTCAAATCTTGACCCCACAGAGGAGCTCTAATGAAACAGTGGATTGCTTTCTGCCCCACTAGAGAGAGACAATCGAATATAAGGTCCATTAAATTCAGAGAACCGGAGACCTGTCCTGTGTGGGTTTCTAGATAAATCTGCCTCTCCCATGTACATTTTTAATGACAATGTGGTCTCAAACACAGTGTTATTCAGTGCTAAATCAAAGCTGACTCTCGGAGGAATACTGTTTGATTCTATTTAGCGCGCACTTCCCTCCCCACATTCGGGTTGTCTGCCTGTGCACACGGGGGTTGTATAATGCGGCCTGAATACATCCTTATAAGTATTGAAGCACAGAGCCCTCCGTGACCCCCAGAGCCCTCCGTTGATCACTGGTGTTTGTTGTAGGAGGAAGGCAAACACCAGCATAGAAGTGCGATTGAACAGCAGCCGCTTCAAAAATGTCTCCGGGCTTTTGTTCCTGGACTGCATAGCAGTAGGGGGCTCCCGTCCTCAGAAAGCATACTTATGCAAGTGTTAAGAACTGGCTGGGATGAGAAGCCCAGCCTAAGAGACCTTCATCATTAGCCGCTACTGGTAGAGATTAGTGATCCTACTGCAGGATTACAGAGGGAAAGGGTGCCAGTGTTGGTTAATTGTTCATTAATGCTTGTGAAATCAGCCAGCTGGAGGAACACGGACCATTGTCCATTCTCTCCAAGAGAAGCTAAATTGGATGGCCCCTCAACGGCGGCATTGATGCCAGAAGAGAAAATACACATGTATGCCACTTCCCCGGGACTTACTCCCAATTTAAAATATTTAATTAAAAACTGTTTTCCTAACACGCAATGCTTAAGTTGTCAATTGCATCCTCTGTCTGGGGATGACCTTGGTCTCAAAGATACCTTCCTTCACACACATTAGCCTTTTCAGATTTGCTCTGAAGCAGGAAATACGATTGACTTCCCAGAGTGACCCAAGATAGAAAAAACAAAGCAAAGCAAAACAAAACAAAACTCTACATGCTTCAGAGTTGGTATTTTGAGATATAATAGGCATTTTATTTACAAACTCCAAGGACTTTGGGCCTATCTCTTTTTTTCTGTTGGGACCCCCGGGGAAACAAACAGATAACAGTAGTAAACAATGCTCCCAAAGTCACTACTACCCCCAGTGAGGAAGAGAGGCAACTTCATCTATCTTATTCTAGCAAGCATCACTGGAAGGCTGATGTCAAGGCCTGAGAATGTACACCGCTCCCGAATGCAAAGCAGGCAAAGGTGAGGCGTACTTCCTCTAGCCCTCCAAAGCGAGTCGTTTATCCAGGGAACAGACAAGTTTCTGCCACATGCCAGGGTGAGGAGACAACGGAAGGTGGTTGGGGCTTGTGCCCTCCGCCCACTTTACCGCTGCAGGCAAACGCCAAGTTGTAAGGAGAAAGGGAAAGCTGCGGCACGGGCAGAGACCCCCTCAGAGTTGGGTGAGCTTGAGGTTGTGGGTTAAGGCGTGGCATCCCGGGATGAGGGACGAGTGTGAGATGGGCCAGTGTGCTGGGGGTAGGAGCGTCACAGGCCAAGCCGGGTCCAGGCGGAATTCGGAGCCTGTGCAAGGCCCCCGTGTGCCGAGGCATCTCAGTGCGCCCAAGTGACTCTGCAAAGGAGAGATTTCAGTGTAGCCATGTGCAGAGGTAGCTTTCCCCAGGAGATGGGAAGTGACTGTCTCCTGTCACAACGCTTCGGGTCTCTATACTGAGTCTCTGTGAGTCAGATGAGCTCTGCTCTCCCGTGGTAGGTGAGCAAGGCATGCCGCTGACGATCTTGGGGTGTCAGTGTAGTGAGGAACATTGCCTAGCCCCTGCCTCCTCTTCTCCATTTCCTCCTTCCCCGCCGTCTCTGTTACTAGGCTGAAGTCACACCAGCCCATAGTTGTTTCTCTAACACCCCTTTCGCTGTCGCTGCACATACGGGCTCCTTAGCCGTGCTGTGTATGTGTGTGTTTGTGTGTGTGTGCACATGTGTGTGTGTTCATGTGCACGTGTGTGAGTGTGTGCTCCAGTGTGTGTGCACGCGTGTGTATGTGCATGTGCGTGTGTGTCTGTGTGCATTCGTGTACATGTGCACATGTGTGTGGGCATGTGTGTATATGTGCATGTGTGTCTGTGTGTGCACGCGTGTGCACGCGTGAGTGAGTATGTGTGCGTGCGTGTGCATGTGAATCTGCATGTGCAGGCCAGGGCTTTTGGTTGTCTACCTTCCCTAACAATTGCCACCTAATTTCTTTGAGGCGGGGTCTCTCACCAAAGCTGGAGCTCACCAATGCAGCCGAACTGTTTGGGCAGTGAAGCCTGGGGATCCTCCTGCCGTGGCCTTTCTAGCACTAGGATTATGGGTGCATGCACTGTGCAGTTTTGTATTTACAATGTGGGTTCTGGGGTTCAGACTGAGGGTCTCATGCTTGCATAACAAGCACTTCACCCGCGGGATGCCCCCAGGCCCCCTCACACACAGTCTCAGATCTGTGAACCCTTCTCTCTGATCTTTTGTCTACCCATCCAGCATCTATTTATTCAATGTTTGGCAGCTACCAGTTTGAGGCAGCACTGGCTTAGCGAGAAGGGCAGTCAAACCTTCCTCCGACCCTTGTCACTTCTGATGTGGCCACTTCCGACTAGGCCTGCTTCCTGCCATGGTTCACGGAGGCGGGGCAGACCAAGGCTGCTGTGCTCTATGTCTGCTTCCCCAAGCACAGGCATTTGAGGAGGCGTGAGCTCCAGGACTCGTCACCAGGAGAACAGCACCCTGCACACAGTAGGCACTTTGATAACACTGAAAGACCAATATGTGGAAAAGAAGAAAGCCAGAGTTGATTAACGATCAGGCAGCAGTGGACAGAAAGCTCAGGGAGGGAGGTGGCGTAGCCAAAGGCACCAACTGTTCGTTAAGTCTAGTTACCTGGATGTCAAGGAGGCATCGCATCACCAGGCTCAGCAGCCACAACGTGGCTTTCAAAGCTCTACTTGCATTTTGCTTGGAGGGTAGATACATTAAAGCGACTGGTTTTGCTGACTGCTTTGTGTATCACTTTATAAAAAAAAAAAACAACGCACTTAGTTGACCAATAGTCAAGACATTGCCAGACTCCTCAACATCCTCCAGTCCTCCCCAGCTAAATAGCCGTCATGCGGAATGGAAGGTCACGGCCACAGGAAACGCCACCATTTTTCTGGTTGCTGTTTTACCTAAGGCCAGAAATGATACGATCGGAGTCCCTCTGTTTATGGGCTGGGCTCTGAGCACCACGTAAGACCTCTAATCTGTTTGTCTTTGTAACAGGGAGCAGAGTCAGACTTTTTTTTTTCATAATGATTCATTGTTTAAATTAGTTGGGAAACTGTGAGGGAGATGACCAATGGCCCATCCCTGTCAGGCTGTTTCAGGATAGACTGAATATGATCCATCTAGCTTCTGTGTCAGGCCTGAGGTGGGGCTGTCACATGAACTGTGCTGCCCCCTCACAGGTAGTAGGCGGCTGCCGGTACCAGTTATCCAGCAAGCTCAGGCCAAGTTAAGGTAGAAGGTCCCCTGGCTTGCATGGCTAATGCCCTGTGGCTGTTCGGGCCTCAGTTGCCATCCATGCTAATTCCCGGATCCTCTCTTGCAGCGAGGCAGACAACGTCTCATGAGAAGTAAAGTAAGGGACACAAAACCAGGACCAGTCCTCACCCTGGCTTCTTTAGGCTGTCTTGCTTCCTGTGGGATGTACCACAAGCAATAGGACAGTCTGCAAACCCTGGGCTAAGCCTGTTTTGAATCACAGGGGCTGCGCCGTAGTTGGAGATTCACGGGTGGCTGTGAAAACAGCATGGTCTCCAGAGATGCTGTGTCTGCACCGCCACAGTCACCGACTGCCTGGGTTGTGCTATTTAGGACAACCTTGTTTTAGTGTATACGTCATTTGGAAAGACTCTCTTGTTTTGGCATTGGTATTGCAACATGTCAAGAGGAGATTCTGCAGCTTGACCAAAAGAGAGTAGTGGGGAAAAAGGAAAGAAGAGAGAAGGGGGAAAAGGAGAGTAGAGAAAAAGAAGGAGAGAGAGGAGAAGGGGAAGGAATCTGTGGGGGGGTGTGGCGGGGGGGGGACACACCAAGAGTCGACCCTAATCCGTCAGGCTAACAGCCTTTGATCGGTTTGGAGAGAGAGGCTTAGAAACGATGGTCCTGAAAGGTTAAAGAAGAACCAGTCAACAGGTTGGAGAAAGTTTTTCAACCCTGACCCAGCTACAGAGCTAGGAGGGCCGGGTTGCATAAGAGTCGGACAGATTGAAAGCGGCAGTGTGTATTGTTAGAATCAGTCTTAGCAAGTTATGTGGACGACCCCGGCTCCCTACACCTCACCGCATCTTAAGAACAGTTTTTTTTTTTTTAGCCTTTCCTCACCTCTCTGAGGCAGTGACGAGCAAAGTTCAGCTTGTGACCATCTAAATATATCCTGATGGCTGCGCCTGAGCCTTAGTTTTGCCTCTTTGTAATGCAGGTGGACAGGGTGGAGGAGTCTACTGGTGATCTGCTTTACTCGCCTAGGCTCAGGAGGCCTCCAGAGAGGAGCCCGGAGGCCTGGCACAAAGGCAGGAGCTCCGAGGTAAATCTGTGGATTCACCTGGTTTTTGCCAACAAGTGTCAGCTAAACCCTTCTCTCTGGAGATACTTTCAAGTACAAAGTACTTCCAGGATACACACGCAAATGATTATAGAAGAGACACTAATGTCTGAAAGGCAGGATTTCCACATCTTAAAACAGATATGCTCATGAGCCCATTAAAGGTCAACAGGCAGGTTTAATGTGCCCCCCCCCTGAGTATTTGTGATGGTTTGATAAAGACTATTCACCCTACCCTGCCTCGGGGATTAGCCTGAAGGGGAAAAGTTATGTACTATTTGCAACGTGGCCCTGCTTTCACCATGGGGAGACCTGTCATGAAGCCGAGAGAGCACCCCATAAGAGGCGCTGACCGTTAATTTCACAGTCAAGAGGGATGCCCACAGCCCATAAGATTTTCTTCCCTCGAAAACCATCTATTGAATACCCTTCACAAGCAGAAACAACAACACAAAAAACCCTACTGATCACTGATCGGCCCTATTATCTACTAAATAAACTTGAACCCTTAGGAAATAGCCTTTCTTCCCACCATTGGCCATACTCTTGACGCTTCGGGAAAATCCAGTTATTAGCCACTACGTGGGGGCATTACAGATAACCTTTCTTTTAGTACAATAGTGTAAGTCCAATATAAATGAAGGCTTCAGAGCAGCTCTCCTCTGGTTCGCTGAGGACTGGGCCCAAAAATGGAGAGGAAGAGGAGGGCACAGCCTTTTACTGCTCTTTCCTCTTTGGATGTCTCAAGTTTCAGGTAGAGAGGAGAAGGGGCGATGGCTGGCTTGGGATAAATAGTGAGCTCCAGATCAGCCAGGAGTGCACAGTGATACCATATCTCAAAATAAAAGTCTCTGTAGAATAATCAAGCCAGGGTAGTACCTAAATTCTCAAGGATGTTAACTATATGCAAATATATACATATGTAATTGGGTTATGTTATATATGATGTATAATTATGAAGGATTGTCTTGGTCAGGGTTTCTACTGCTGTGAAGAGACGCCGTGACCATGACAACTCGTATGAGGAAAACATTTAATTGGAGGGGCTCGCTTATAGTTTCAGAGGTTCAGTCCATTATCATCATGACGGAGAACATGGTGGCTTGCAGGTAGACACGGTGCTGGCTACATTTTGCAGGCAGTAAGATACACTGGGTGGTATCTTGAGCATAGGAGAACTTAAAACCCACCCCCACAGTGACACACTTCCTCCAACAAGGCCACTCCTCCTAATAGTGCCACTCCCTTTGGGGGCCATTTTCTTTCAAAACACCATAAGGATATTAATCATACGCAACATTTAGCTTCACATGGATGCCCAGAAAATCAGTATGTGTGTTGCTGGTAAACAAAATTAAGCACCCTGTTCTTCTCGTCAACAATACTGTCAACCATAGGCCATCAGTAACTATGTTGATGGTAACTCATTCTTGGTTCCAGTATCTTCCAGTGCTACAAGATTGAAAACTTCTGTCTGCCACGGAAAAGACTCGACTTCATAAAGGGCTGTATACCAAGGATGGTTTCAACGGAAGATGTTCACTAGAGATGAAAGCAACATCTGACAACATGGTTGGCAATGCCAAATTCGATGCCCTCAGGTGTGCATTTTAATGTTGAGAGTTAACATCTCATTAGCATAGGCGTGTATTTGCATGCATTCCTATGTTTGCTCCAGGGTCCCCAGGCAGAGTATGTCTCACACAGAACGTAGCTTTACAAAGAGTCGAGGCCATTTTCATGGGGGCGTGTGTGCAACAACAGTGCTCTCACCACAGGAACGTTTTGGGATGTCTTATGAATAATGAGTGAATGATGAGCTTGTTAAGAACAGTTACTTGGAGGGCTGGCGAGGGTGAAGTTGGTAAAGTTCTTGGCATGCATCATGAAGATCTGAGCTCACGTCTCTACCACTCATGTAATCATAACCATAATCACAGTCATTAAAAAAGCCTAGGTCTGTAGGGCAGTCTGGCATCTCAGTGCCGGGGCGGTGAAGCCTCTGGGACTCGCTGGTGGCTGGCTGGTCCAGATGGATCGGTGATATCCAGGGGAAGCGAAAGCTCGTGTCTCAGAGTGTGACAGGAAAAGTGAGGAAGATACCTGATACCCAACACTGGCTTCCACATACATGTGTGCATGCTTAGACACCCCATGCACACACCACAAGAACATGGACATACAACACTCACACACAGCCACACGTACATACACATACACAAGACTGTGGTTGTTTTCCAGCTAGGGGTGTGGGTTAGTTATATGGTGCTTTCCTGGTGTGTGTGATAACCCCTGGCTCAATCCCCACCACTGGGAAAAAGGGTTATAGTTTGCTCATGGTCTTTCTCAATGTTTCCTTTTCTAACTTTGAACTTGTTACCTTTAAGAGTGACCATTATTTTTTGTATGCCCATAATCAAATCCATAAGTCTGCTTCAGAAACAATCTCCATGAAAAATAACCAGTGAACCGAACGCCAGGACTCAGACGGTATTTCCCGAAGGATCCGGCTTTCCCAGCATGCAGAGGGTTGGCTCTACTGGGTGACTGATACACAACCTAGGGCTTCTCACACTACTTTCTGAGGCCACCCTCCACTCCAAGGGCAGTCAATACCCTTCCATGCCTGCAATGAGGACTCACTGGCCAAGCTAATTCCAAAGCACTGAACGAATTAGTGTTTCCAAGTAAAAGCAAAACAAGTTTACCTACTATGTGACTTCCCAGAGTATTTCAAACCAAATCGCCCCGTGAAGCTCTGTGTGTTCGGCTGGGGACGAGACATTTCCAAACGCACGGGATCAAGGCATCCCGCGGTGATATTCGTGGACGCATGCTCTGTAGAGCGGGCTCTGGTAAAGATGAGTGTCTTTTTGTCTCACCGGGTCTTCCCCATACCTTGCATGGAGGACAACTTCTCATTCGTCCAGATTTTTCTAGTTGGGGACTGAAAGGCCCACGCTACCAAAAGTTTGGAGGTCAGACGTCAGCTCACATCACTCCTCGAGGGTGTGCAGTCACTATGGCCGCCGCGCCTCTAGTTCACTGGGGGCAGGACAGACAAGGCAGGCCACAGGCAGACACTCTTCAAGAAGGATGGGGATCGACTACCTGGGAGGCAGGCAGAGGTGGCTTCCAGGCTGCTTGTTACGACCACACGGCCCACGTGAGGCTGGTGAGAAACCGCATTTGACTTTTGATATTACAAAAGCGGACTGTGAAATGAGTCCCTCCCCTCCCCCCCCAACAGGAGGCTGTGATGTTTGGGAAGGGAAGCCCTGTTAAAACCCTCAGAATAGCCCCTGCATTCACCCACGCCCGCCCCACACAGCTTTCAAACACTGACCACCACCAGCACCACCGTCAGGAGTCATCTCTAGATAAAGGGGAAAAATTATCATTACATTAAAGCAAAAACATATTTGGAAGTGCCGCAGATGACTTAATTTGGCCTGTGACAAAAGGGAAAGGGACAGCTATGCAGTCCAAGAGGAGAGAGGTGCTTCCTAGAGAGCTTCACCCTCTCCATTATACCTTAGCCGGCAGCCTGGGAGGGGAGCGGGCTTCTCTGTGGCGTGGCTCATCAGCAAAAGGAGAACTCTGACATTGGTTAAAATGTTGACGTGACAGGCGACGCGAAGGTGCCACACTGTTGTCAAATTGCAGTGGGAGCCCTGCAGCCTGTGTCTTGATTCCTATAGTCTCCCCTCCCCGCCACCGCCACCACCCCTAAGTGCAGTGTACTTTAAGCTGCTACAAAAGGGAATCTTTGTCGAGCAAAATGCGCTGGGAAAGGACAGATAACTGTTCCGAGGTCTGAGCCAAGCTATGACTTCCTTCACAAAGTGTTTGCCTGCGTTTAGCGTTTATGCATACCCAAATCCAGTGTTTGCCTTCATCTCAAGCCTTTTGATTCCGGGTGGCTGTGTTATTTATGTTCTCTCTTATCCTCAAATTCTCCATTGGATCTGTTTCCTCTGCCTGCGCTGACGGCCCCTCTGTTGGGAAAAACACAATAAAACAAAAATATACTAGAAGCCACGGGGAACTCTTTAACTACATCCGGGAGTCCTCTGGGGCACTCACATAAGCTCTTCTCGGCACCACCACCAGGCTGGTTTTAAAATGCTTTCTTGGGGGCTAGAGGGTAAGTGTGACCTGAGTTTGAATCCCGGACAACCATTTAAAAGCTGAGCATGGCCAGAGAGTGGGGTTGTGGACAGATATCCCTGGAGCTCATGGACCAGCCAGTCTAGTGGAAAGAGGAAGCTGCAGGCTCAGTGAGAATAAAATGTAAATTGAGCATAGAACCTAATTCCTGTCCTTTCCTGGTGTTTACACAGACACACACACACACACACACACACACACACACACACACACACGAGGGAGAGAGAGAGAGACAGAAAGACAGAGAGAGACAGAGAGAGACAGAAAGAGAGACAGAGAGACACAGAGAGAGACAGAGAGAGAGAGACAGAGAAAGATAAAGACAGAGAGACAGAGAGGACAGAGAGACAGAGAGGACAGAGAATCTCTTTACCGCAAATCACTTTCAAAACACCTACTCATGTTTAGACATTTTCAGTATAGTTTGGTTTCAAACATAAGGAGACAGCTGTCCTGGAAATCCTCACTACACATCCTAGCTAACTTGTCTGACCATCAGAGGCCTGTCTTTCTGTGTTCATTCGTGAGCACCTTGTGCGCTAATGTCATTGATTCCTACTCGGAAGCTCTCTGAGACTCCTGGTCTTTTTTGACACGCTGGGTGTCCCTCTGAGAGTTAGGTGACCGTCCTGAGTCATCTGCGGCTCACTGTGTGCTGCAGGACACACTAACTGTTCTGTTTCCTCAACACTAAGAGAAGGGAGGGCCAATGCCTACCTCATAGAGGTGATTTAAAGATTAAACAGAGGTGACCCTTAAAGTCACCTCAACAGACACCAGTCTCCCGCTTGCTTCCTTGTCTTTGCCGGCCCCTGGATGTGTGCTCCCGCACTACTTAGTGTAAAAGGAGCCACAGGTTCAATGCCCTGCCCTCCTTGGCGGTCCTCACTGCTGTCAGTATACCCATTCCTCAACTGCTCTGTCTACACTCTGCTGATTGGATCTTGAGTAACGAGACCTGCCTGTGATTGCACTGACACATCTCCAGACTCTTAGATGTCCTTACCTCTGTCTCGTGTGTGTGTGTGAATGTTGCGCATTCAGGTAGCTGGCACTCGGTGGACGTGAGCCCCACCTGGCTCTTCTGAGCGTTCCCCTGGTCCTTTGGGCAATGGTACAGAACGTCATCGGGTAGGGAGGTTCCCTCCTCCACAGCGTGTGCCATACTTGGGGCTCCCCCTTTCAACTTCTGGAGGACAGTGCTCTTAGTAACACTGTTTACGATAGATTTGGGTCCCCAGACTTGAGGAAACTCCAGATCCTTGTTCCGCCAATTGCCCATTTCCATGTAGAGATGACATCATCACTCAGGAAGAAAAAAAATACATCAACAACAGTCAACCTGCCTCTGAGAAGGCAGCCTTGAGAAACACAGGCCCTAGTTCTTAACCAAACCACATAAACAAGAATGTTTGATATATACACTATATGATTATATATATATGATATCAACCTGAAGAAGTGGAGTCAAGACACAGCTAACCTTTCCAAAATCATTGCTCCCAAGTTTTTTTATGTCTAGAGCAGTGGTTCTCAGCCTTCCTAATGCTGTGAACCTTTAATACAGTTCCTCATGTTGTGAGCCCCCTAACCATAAAAATTATTTCTGTTGCTATTCCATAACCGTCATATTGCTACCAAGGGGTGTCTTAGCTCCTAAGACCATCAGAAATATGTATTGCCTGGCGGTCGTGACCCACAGGTTGGAAAATGCAGTCACCTAGAGCGCAATACTTCCAAAGAATACCACCATCCTTCGGCCAATACATATTCAAAAAAAATCTAGACCGAAAATTTTGATGTTGAATTTTGTTTGAGCCCTATGATCGTAAACCATTTTAACGTCCCTGAAAATCTGATTTTTTTCCTGCATTTTCATTCCTGTGCACTTATGACACTGGGTCCACATATACTACTTATGTAAAGGGAAAACAAAACCTGACAGATCAATCAGGCCTGTTGGCAGCAGGCTTCATAATTCACTTAAGCTGTCTAGAGAAGAAAAGTGGCACTCGGGAGGCAGAGGCAGGTAGAACTCTGCGAGACTGAGGTCAGCCAGGGCTAAACAGTGAAACCCTGTGTGGGAACACCAGACCTTGAGCAGAGACCCACTTCCCCTTCTGCCTGGGAGTAGGCAGCTGTAAGACAATGTTTGGTAAAAACATGTTTACTAAAAACAATACAATAAGTTCCTGGCCACTTCCCCTTCTGCCTGGGAGTAGGCAGCTGTAAGACAATGTTTAGTAAAAACATGTTTACTAAAAACGATACAATAAGTTCCTGGGAAAGGCCTTCCCACGGAAACCGCCCTGACCTTGACCTTGTCCAAAGACTAACCGCACCTTCAAAAACCCACACACATCCACCTCTGGTGTCAGAGCAGAACCAGCCAGGGGAGAGGAGAGAGCAGAAGCTTCTCTGGTGGGAGCTTTTTCTTAGGAAGTTTTTCTTGAACCTTTTTGGAGCCTGTTTAAAGTTTTCTTTATATCATTGAACGAGTCTCTGTGTTGTCAATACCCGACACCCTCCGCACGTTCTCGGACACAGGCCGCGCAGCAGACGTGACAATTGGAGGTCCCACCGAGATCGTGAAAGCGAGGTAAGTGGACGGGGTTAAGAAACTATGGGGAATAGTTCCGGGAAGCTAGAATCATTGCAGTATCAACTAAAAAAGTTACTTAAAGAACATGGGACTGCAGTCAAGTCTAAAACCCTAGAAGGCTTTCTAAAATCGATCGAACGAGCCAGTCCATGGTTCATTACTGGGGGAAGCTTAAATATTCCAGATTGGGAGGAGGTTCGCCGTGATCTTCATAGACTTTTACGAAAAGAGGGATCTGAGTCCTTGCCCCCTACGACATTCTCCTTATGGAGATTAGTGAGGGGAGCACTTTTGACAGATAAGGTTCGTCACCGCCAGGTAGTTCAGGACACAAAAGAGGCTTTTTAGAGTTACAAGAGACTGAGACTCAAGCCTCCTTGAGTTCAGGGGCAGAGAGTGATGATGAAGAGACCGTGATTGAAACTAGAGGCTCCATTGTTAGTGAGGATGAGGAGGAGTCTCTTAGTAACAACAAAAAAACGGGTAGACATCTCCGGGCGCGACCCAAAAAGAAGGACTCCGGTCAGAATCGGTTATATCCTTCTCTATCAGATCTAGAAAATGGAAGTAGCTCAGACTCAGACTCGTCACAGTCTGAAAAGGAACGGTTACTTGCTGAGATCACGGCCCTTAAAAAAGAACTAAAAAAGATTCTAATTAAGGAAAGACAGGACAGGGAGAGAAACTCTTCCCCATACTCTGAAAAAAGGGACTCCTCCTATGAGATAACCCAGTTCTTCTCAGACCTGGAGGGAAGACCCAGGGGAGGGGTCCAATGCTGCCCAGTGGTGGCCCCGGTAATGGAAGTTCCAGACCCGAACAATTCTCGACAGGTCATTCGGCGCCATGACCCTTTAAGTTTCAAAGATATAAAACAACTGAAAGAGGCAACTTTAAATTATGGAGCACAGGCTCCCTTTACACTTTCCTTAATGGAATCTTTTGCGTCTCTTAATTTGACACCTGGCGATTGGCAGCAGCTTTGCAGAGCAGCTCTGTCGGGGGGAGATTATTTGATTTGGAGAGGTGAGTTTCAGGAAAGATGCAGCCAGACAGCCCAAAGGAATGCACAGGCCGGACAGCCCCAGAGAAATGTGGAGATGCTTACCGGAAGTGGTCAATACGCCACCATTCAGCAGCAAATGCAATATGACATCGCAGTCTATGCCCAAGTGGCAGCAGCGGCCCAAGGAGCTTGGAAAGCATTGCCTTCCAAGGAAGGAGGAGATCATCTGTCCAAAGTCCTTCAAGGACCTTCCGAACCTTTTCAAGACTTCGTAGACCGTCTCAGTCAGGTAGCAGAAAGAATATTTGGGGGCATTGGGCCTGCGATGCCAGTCATAAAGCAGATGGCATTTGAAAATGCAAATAAATATTGTAAGGAAGCCCTTCGCCCCTATCGCAATAAAAGTCTAAATGACTATATCCGGATCTGTAGGGACATTGATGGGAACTTCATCCAGGGCCAAGTGTTAGCTGCTGCTATTCGGCCCCAAGTGGGGAAAGAAAGACCTACTCTGGGAAGGAGAAAAACATGTTTTAGCTGCGGTAGGGAGGGACACTTCCGAAGAGAGTACCCTCAAAATAGTACTACGGGTCTCAAGAGACCTGGTTTATGCCCCCGTTGTCGAAGGGGATATCATTGGGCCAATAACTGCTACTCTAAAACTGACAGGGAGGGAAATTTCCTTTCTGCTAATAATAATCAGGGAAACGGGAGGAGGGCCCCGCCCCAGGGCCCCAAAACCAATGTGTACGGGGCAATGACCCCTGCTCTGGGCAGTGGCAGGACTCATTTTCTCCCCCAGAGCAACCCCTTCATATCTCAGACCTCCTTAGAGCCACCTCGGGGAGTGCAGGATTGGACCTCGCTCCCTCTGCCCGGGCAATCCTAACACCAGAAATGGGGATCCAGGCCCTCCCTACTGGGGTGCATGGGCCATTGCCCCAGGCACAGTAGGACTACTCTTGGGATGGTCCAGTACTATTCTTCGAGGCATCCAGGTACACCCCGGTGTTATAGACCAGGATAGTGAGGGGGAGATTAAAATAATGACATCAGTGGGCAGTGGGGTTGTTGCCATCCCTGCAGGAGAATGGATTGCTCAGATACTCCTTCTCCCTACAGCTCCTTGTGAGGCTAGAAAAATTAAAGAGAAAAGGGGCAACCAAGGTTTTGGAAGTACCGGCCCGGCAGCATTTTGGGTAGCCACTATGGAGAACTGCCCCCAGCTTACATTAAAGATAGAAGGCAAGTCCTTTAGGGGCGTCTTAGATTCTGGGGC